GAGCATTTGGAATTAGTGAGCGACTTAGGCGAGCGAATCGGAGGCCTCGGAGCACCCCTCCGGGCCAATCAGAACGTGGTGAAGCGACAGGGGGGAGGGGGTGTGCGATTAGTGAGAGGGGGGTGTGCGATTAGTGAAAAGGGGGTGTGCGATTAGTAGCCCCCCTCACAAACTTGCATTTTCATCAGACATGGTACGAGTATGTCTCTGTGCTGATCCGCTAGCCAATTCTTCATACCCCTCTTATAGTGCTTCTATGAGAAGCTTCACTCCATGACGCCTCTTAATCTATCCAGTCTCTGCTCCTCTCAAGCACCTACAACCGCTACTCCAACCGACCACCCACAAATACGTTTACGCCATCCTATCACCCTCCACTCAAGATGCTTCTCGTCTCGCTCGCCCCCAATCCAATCCTCGTCATCACTATCATCATCCTGTAGGCCGCCCTGAACCACGTCTTCCACAAACTGAGCCGCCAAACCAACGAAAATATCAGAAAACTGCAGTAAACGATCGATGAGAAAATGTCGATGCTCGAGGTGGCGGTTTAGTCCAATGAAGAATGCGATTTGATGACTTGGGAGTTTGACGCTCTACACGTCGTCATACAGGTAGCTTTTTCGCGTTTGGAGACGACATGATATGCAAAGCCGGCGGATTGGCGGTTGGACAGACGACATGGCAAGCCTTGCACCCCTTCAATCGCAATTGCATACACTTACAACCGAGCGATGATGCAAAGAATCGTGTGGCAATCGCGTGTTTGTATCTCTAACAAACTCCAGCCAAACACAAACGCGAGACCGGTGAGGCTACACGAGTCCGAGATCGTGCTTGACACACACATCTTGCACTGTATATGAGGACGACATACTTCGAAACCTCGGGAATGGAATCAAAATTCAGCATCCAGCTCTCTCTCACTGGCTACTCACATCTAAAAGATGGAGTTAGCAGTGAAAGCACTCCTCTGGGCCCTCTTCGTATTTTTCATTCTCGCCACTATCGGAGGTATCGCAGTATGCGTGCTCCGATACCGTCGGCCACTCACGCGCTGCAATAACCGCGATGAAGAAACTGGAGCCAGCGGACAGGCCATCGAACTAGAAGACATCCAGGGAGTTGATCCGGGGCCTGGCGCCCAAGGCAATCCAGAAGCACGCCCACTGGGGACTCCAATGATAGTCTTCCAGGGCCGGTCCAGCGCGCTCTTCGTGGGCAATGCAGGGCCGGCTTCTCAGGGCACGTTCGGGGCTGCCTTCCAGGGTCGTGAAGGGTCAGCATTCGTCCAAGGATTTGGAGCAGGGCCAGGAAGCATGTCGCAGCACCCCCCTCCTGATGTATCGCCATCGCCTCCGGCAAGTGTGGCTTCATTGCCGGAATCGTGGGGGGCTGTGACAGAAGAAGAAGCACCATTCGAGTCCGTGGTGGGAGAACCAGTGGAAGATAATCCCAATGGCCCGGTGGTAGACCCCGTTCGAGAACCGGCACCAGAGAGATCTCGGAATGAGACGGTGATTGGCATAAGGTACGAGAACACTGCTCCCGGTCCGCCGCCCGTGTTCGGGGCGTCAAGGCTGCATTGGTATTGGTAACGGACTGAAGAGAAGTGCTGCAGGTCCACCACGTCCACCAAACCCAAATGCCACGGGAAAAGGGTCCCTGGGCCTCAGCAAATGGTACCGAGCCAAGACCAAGAAGACAAGCGGGGTGAACACGAAGGGCCGCAAGGGATGGGATGGCGGCCGGGAAGGCGAAACGGGGCTGGACTTCGCTATCAGGAAGTTACTGCCGGGATCTCTCTAGCGGAGACTCTAGAAAGTAGAGCAGCGTCAAGTCCAGAAAGCAGAGCAACGAAAGCTCCAAAAAGCGGAGCAGCGGAGGCCCCAGAATGCAGAGACGAGACAGCCAGAGACAATGCCACCAGAGAGGGAACATCCAGAGCGGGGACAACTAGAGACGGGACAACTAGAGACAGAACGACCAGAGACGGAACAATCAGAGATAGAGCCGCCAGAGATAGAGATAAAGCCCTAGCAATTTATGACTTGTGGGATTCTTTCAGGGAAGAATTGAGCAAGAGTGTACGAATACGATCATCTATGCTCAAGCGGAGGGAGAAGAACTCAGATCATGATTCCCTCTACGATCGTAGCGGGAGCGAGTATTATGGAGGGCGGCGAAGAAGAAGCACTGGAGACTCCAAAGAAGAGATAGTTCAGACCGAGACTGAGCAAGGTGGACTACCAAGTGTTCAGCTGGATCCGGATGCGGAGAAGTCTGAAAAAGCATACATTCCCGAAACACGGCCAGAACACGTTACGGAATCTGTGGACAGGACGAAAACGTCACAAAACGACGTAGTTCCGTGCGTGAGCGAACCGAAGAGAAAGAAGCCGTGGTATGAGTTCCCTCATTCGAGCGACAGTGACGATTCCAGACGACAACGAAACGGCCCAGCAACCCCAGAGGAGACAAATGCAACTGAAGTTAAGTTGGGTAGTTCATCCGGCGGTCTGCTTGACCTGAGGTTGGATGAGCCTGGAAAAGTGCACAGTTCCGACAATACATCGGCACTAGCTCCCGAGGACCTAAAGAGGACAGAAACACGACGGGAGACGGACAACAGAACGGGTGAGATGTCGATTTCTTCTCATAGCCAAACCTACCAAAAGCCTCCCCCAGTACCGTTAAAGACACTCATTCAGCGGCGTAGGGCTGCCAAGGCCGCTGGTATAGCGGCAGATGGTAGTAGGAGCCGGTGGGAAGATCGTATGGGTACAGAGGGAGGGCCCCAAGGGCAGTCAAGCGTAGGCGCAGCATCAGCGCCTGTGGGACGGAGAGCTATGGAGCTGGAGAGGCGGATGTCGGAGTCTGGAAGGATGGAATACGATCCGACGACCGGCACGTATAAGGAGAAAGATGTAAGGAAGATGCCCTGGAAAGAGTAAGATGCAGAGCTCATGTGTTGTTCAAAATGTACAATAACAGACGGCGACGTAATTCTGTGAATCTGTAGACAAGTCGTGAGTCGTCAGTAACAAAACGAAAGTCTCTGCGTTGTGTGCGTCTAGGTGAACTTAGCGTTCGTTTAGCACGCTTATATTATATTATATATAGCTGATGTCCGTCCCTTAGTGCCGCAAGACCCACCGTGCCGCAAGATATGAGGGGTACATTGACTTTAAACAACTCAGACTCTGCTCATACGTCGATATTTCCTATAATGGAACCCCTCCCATGGAAAAATTACCTTCGCATTGTCGCCTTCGCGCCCGATATATGGAGAGCCTTCTTTCATGGCGTAACAGAATTCCTTCACCACAGCACCACTATCGAGCTCTTAACTATCACTTCTGGTGCTTATAAAATGGTCTTTTCCGAGCCTCAGAGCCTCACTACCCTACTAGGAAGTTGTCATCAGCCTTGTGGCTGCTTACGCACGCAAATTCATGCAAGTCGCCACCCTGGTCGGTACTTCCGGCTGAGGCAATTACCAATTCTAGCTAGGACAAAGTGACCCCGCATCTCCGACATAATCATTACGGTGTAATTTACATTGATGGGAGAGCAACACCGGCCTGCGGGGTAGCAAGGGTAGTAGCAAGGGTAACCTAAAATGGTCTAGCGAGTCTTGGCGAGACAAGGAACGACCATCTATCCTGTTGAACCGTCTCTGTTTTCCTACAGTCATCTCCGGACTGCTTCTCTTGAGTTCTGATCGCCTCCCTGTGGTCTGATAACATGGTCCTCATTCCCTTCGCCTCCTGAACTCCCTCCAAACGCGCCATTCTAAACACGCATCAAATGGCATCTAACACAGGGCCATGCCTGCACACTACGAGATCCTTTCTCTCCTTCCTATGGGAGTTTCCTACCAAATGCCTCGAAAACTACGATCTCCGAGCAACACACACTTAAATACAATACCATCGAACGCGCGAGAATTTCTCGCCGCCGGGAAAACAGGAGTTGTCTATGGGATTGATCCTGAGAGAGTGCTGAAAGAGTTTCACGACAGTGATGGGGGCGAAGTTGAACGTCAAGTGTATCAGCAACTCGGTTCGCACCCTAATGTTGCAAAGCTGCTGGAAACCCAATCGGATGGCTCCATCATTCTCGAGCGAGGCAACTCCATGCGGAAAATCTGTCGAGCTTCCTCCGCAAATGAGATCCCAATTCAGACGAAAGTTAACTGGCTCAGACACGCAGCTGAAGGATATCAGCATTTACATGATCGCAATATTATTCATGGCGACGTGGGATGTAGCAATCTGATTATAACAAGGGATGGCCTTGTAAAGTTAATTGACTTTGAAGGCTGCAGTATTGATGGTGGACCAGCAGGTTCCTGCTACGAATGGTTTAGCTACCGCCCATCAGTGCCTAGAGTGAGTCGACGTACGGATATTTTTGCATTTGGTTGTGTAATCTACGAAGTTTTCACCGGGAGACCACCACACCATGAGCTTGAAGCATCGGATGACCGGTACAGGCAGGTTGAAGAGCTGTACACAAATAATCACTTTCCCGATGTTACAAATATTCCCTTCGGTCAGTTAATACAGAGTTGCTGGGATGGCGACTTCAGCTCTATGGACGAGGTTATTCAGGAGCTAAAGGCGTTTCGCCGAAGGCCCCTCAGTTGGCAGGCTATTACGAGCGACTGGATACGCAAATGGTTTTCTTTCTTTCTGTAACTTAGTAACCCAAAATTGGATAAGCTGTGACAGTTTTGACAATTTCTATCCTTCCGCCTTCCCCAAACTCAGGCTCTCCGCCCAAATGTTATTTGAATTAAGCTTGCCACCTAACTAATTCATATTGGCAGACCTAGCCAAAATGATCCACCTATTATTTATGAACCAGCATATATAGGAGTAGAGCACGGCCCGCTTACCCATTTGACTTGGTAGACTTCGACCGCTATCCCAGAGTCACGGCATGCTGGGCACTGACCTCCTTTCCTCGAAGAAAGCTGATCTAGACTTGTATCGCGCGTTGGATTTTCGCAACCAGAGCCTGGTTTTGGTGATTGAGAACATCTCTTGCGTAGGCGTGTCTCTATCTTATGTTGAACCGGCTTTGTGCACTCGCCTTGGACAGCAAGGGTGATCCCATAAGTACACATGGTGAAGAGTTAAGCCTAGTCGCCTAATAAAATGAGAGGGTAATAGTATTGAGATGATGAATCGTGAGCTCTAAAAGTATTCTGGTATACTGGTGTTTTGAGGATTGAGAAGTGGGAAGATAGAGGACGTCAGAAATTGGCCAGCAGCCAACTCATCGTATCGATAATGCCAAGCGGCTTTTCTACGGGATAAAGTGTTGACTGGCATATCGCCGGCACCCGGTCGCTGCCTTCCCTAACATCTGAGTTAGCCTGATCGCTAGTCATGTTTCTTTGGGTCTGAAACGTTCATCAGGTCCAACGCGCGAGACGCTAGTTATACTGAGGAGTGCGTGGCCATCAGCATTGACAGAGAGCCTCAATGACTTGAAGGATCACCGGAGCATGTTGAACCGCTTGAACCACTTGCCGAGAGCGTTCACTTTGGCTTTCATCATCAGGGCTTGCAGGTACGTGAATTCGACTCAAGGCCGTCAGATTTTGCTCTAAGGGTGACCTTGCTTCAGGACACGTATGGGCCTGTCCATGCAAGCTTCCTTCGTGTTCCGACTACGGCAAGTCCTGGAGCCTACGAAGCAACTTTCTCCTCCATTTGTACGAGCAAGATGCACACAAGACGACAGCGACGACAGCGACGACCGAGGAAATGATTGAAAGAGTGCAGGAACAGCTTGAAAAGCCAAATGCACCTGCTGTCGCTCAGGTCATTTTGGAGTAATGTCGAATGCTCCCGCGTGTACTACTGTTACTTATGTCAATGCGAACGGAAATACGAGCAGCACACCTGTTCATGTCACCAAAAACCCAGCAGACCAGGCTATAGTTTGCAAGCCTGCTCTCCTAACTTCGCTAGCTCGATGTTAGTGACCACTAGAGCGATCAAACCAAACCAAACGACCGGGTATCTTAAGGGATTATACGATTTAGATGTCATCTTGCGGGAAGTGTTTTCTTAGGCAATTAGTAAGATTTCGTGATGGGACGGGGAGATCAGTTTAGAGATTCCAATGGAGTACAGGCTGTAGTAAACTTGCATAAAATAGTAACTATTCTCGCGAGGCATCGTGTGGATTAGAAACACTTTTTAAGTATGGTACCAGTCGTGTCTCTATTGAAGGGATCCGGCTCTATCATATCCCGAATAAGACACTTCCATCTTTGCGGAATCGGTTCTAGCACCTTGTCCTACAATTCACCGGCGATACCGTCGTATGAGGTGGTATTCTTATAGAAGCCGGTACCCTTAAGACCTTGTTGTACCCACTGCGTCTCTTTGATTTGAGTTTCGGTGCGATACGGAGCTTCCTCGTGCAGCATCCCGTGCTGCCACAGCTCGCGACTCTGCGTAGCAAGAGCTAGTGAGAATAAAAAGAATGCATGTAGCAGGAGCGGATGAGAACTTACGGTTACTCCCAAAGCGAATATATCAGAAGCAGTGGATGTAATCCCTAGGTTCCACGTTTCTGGCGGACGATACGGAGCAGTATAGAGCAGATCTAGCATCTTTATAAATGGGCTCAGTGTTACGGCATAGCGGTAGCCTGGTATTAAGAAGAGCGGCATTAGAAAATAATAACACTAAAGCATTGAGTCGAGACTTACAACTGCCCAGGTCCATGAGCTTTGCTCCTATGATCTCTCCATTCTCAATACGCACCCCGATGTTCTCCGGCTTGACATCTGAGACTCTGTCAGAGTAAGGAGAACTGTATAGGCAAAGCTCTTACCATGGTGCGCACAGTTCTTCCTACGCATTTCCAAAAGTGCATGCATCATGGACTTTATCGTCGTAGTGATTGAAGTGTCGGTAGATACGAGCCCAAGGCTACATGCCTCCTTCAAATTGTACTCCATCTTTTTCCTCCTAGCAACTTTTGCAGCACTGGCCCTCGTTGGTGTCTACAAGTTGTATAAGAAGTACAAAGCTTCCAGAGAGAAAAGGAAGCGCGAGGAGGCCGCAAGGTTCGGAGAAAGCCTGGCACGGAGTATAACGCAAAGAACTGATTACCAGCCGTCCGCTCGAGATGATATTGAGCTTGGAGCTATTGTTACGAGGCCTTTGAGCGGACTAACTTTAGTTCCAGAGCGAGTACGGCCCTTTCCTGCGTATCTTCCTCCACGATCTGAACCGCGACGGCGTTTTGGGGGAGATGGTAATGGAGCCCTTTTGTGGGCCTAGCGTATTGGTAGTTTTCCACAGTTGATGAAATTTTGAGGAAAGAGTTGACAACGACGTGCGCTGTCTTTCGATCGGGGCGGTGGCTGTGATACCAAGTAGAGAGCACGCTCTTTTGATGAGATGGGATGTCTCTCTCTTGTCCATGCGCTGGCCGTCCATACTTTTGAAGATCCCACAGTATTCAAGGGTGTTCTAGAGCGCTAAAGGAGCATCAGTAAGGGCACATAAAGTAAGTGACAATGGCCAGCAAGGCTACAAGTGCTACCTTGTATTTAAAACCGTCTCATAGCGCGCCTGTTAGCTCGTCTCATGCTTGAAACGTTTTTACCCGACAATGGTCTTTTGTCAAGATCTCGGATATAGGGCGATTCTTCTTCTGCGAAATGACTTCGATTTCACGATCGTTTACATTTACTTTATGTCTCCGCGAATTCCGAAGTTCCCTCACCAAGAATGATGTTCGCTCCGAATCATGAGTTTGAGCCGCTTTCGTTCGTACTTGGAATTATCGCAGGCTGCCTCTTCTTAGCACTTGTCCGGACGTGCTATCACTTCGCCAGCCGGGTAAACATGCAAAGAGAGACGATAGCATTGGAAGTAGTGAGGGATGTACAGCAGTACGCTGGGGGAAGCCTGGGAGGCGGGACTCCCGATGAAAGGGAGGATCCTGAGCTTTGGCCCACACAGCCTTTGCGTTTCGTAGGAACTCTGGGCACGGAAGCTTTGGGAAACGATGACACCAAGAACGACGCAGGGAGTTTCGATAGTGGGGTGTGAAATGTGTGGAGCATGAGCACTACAGTTAGGACTTCATAAACCGTTGCAACGATACTTGCACGAATGGCAGAATATACACTGTGTATTCCAATTGGTTATTTATCTACCGAAGCTATCGGAAACTGCACTTACCCTTTGACCGATTCTTACACGCTCATGCGTCAGTGGTTCCCATGTCAAAGAGCAAGAACTCCGCTGGCTTGTCGCCGACGCTCTCCACCTCGATCTTTCCAGGCCCCTTGGCCTCGATGAATGCGCCATCTCCTTCCCCAAGCGTCGTTTCTCCGACTTTGATCTTCGAGCCACCCTCCTTGGGCTGTGCCCGCTCGCTCATGACGACATGCAAGTAGACCTTTCGTGGCCCTTCTTCGACAATATCATGCGAAACGGTCTTGCCAGGGCTCAAGATGCTCGCGTCCATGCTAAGGTCGGCCTGAAGCCCGATCGGCGCAACCTCGCCCTTCTTATCGCCTAACCTGTCGGTGTATTCCATGATCCTGACCAGTTTATCCTGCTTCTGTTCGTCGGTAAACTTCTTCGTTTGATAATGGGGCTTCAAGCCCTTCTTGTTCGGCTTCGCCCAAATTTGCAAGAAGTGGCACTCGTCGTTTTTGTTCCGGTTGTATTCGCTGTGCGATATGCCTGTTCCTGCGCTCGTGAACTGAACTTCTCCGCGCTTGAGGTTCTCGAGGTTTCCGAGTGAGTCCTTGTGCTCTAGGATCCCAGAAACGATGTATGAAAAGATTAGGAACTCGGCGTGAGAGTGTGTGCCGAATCCCGTCCCTTTCTCGACGCGGTCTTCGTTGATAACGCGTAGTGGGCCATATGAGCCGAACTTCGGGTCGTAGTAGCTGGCGAAGGAAAAGGTGTGGAAGGAGTATAGCCAGCCGTGGTCCGCGTGGCCGCGAGCCGACCAGGGACGCTTTGTGATCTTGGTTGCTGCTGAAGTCGACATTGCGCGGATTGTTGAGGGCGTAGGTTTTGGGAGGAACTTTGGTAGAGAGTTGCGGAGAGGGGTGAAGAGAGCCAGGATGACTGCTGCAATTGCGATTAGGATAGCAAAAGTTTTGGTTGAGAAGAAAGATGTGGTGGAATTTGGAACTGATTTGCTTTCTGTCATTCAGAATACAAGAGCCCGTCAATTGGAACTCGAGTTCGCCTTATATACACAGGGGAAACTAAGAGGGACACCACCAGGAGGTTCTAGATAGACAAAGGAGAGCTGCTGGCGTGGGGTATAATGCTAGGTCAGTTGTTTGTAAGGAGGGGTGCTGGAGATTGAAGGCTGTAAGCGATGACATACGCAATGTAAGCGGCCAGTGCGTCCTTTTCAGGTCTAGCGCTGCTTAGTGCTGTATTCTATCACTCTTCAAGATCCCACTCGAGCATTTGCTTGTTCTTCGAACACATGCCAATTGACTCGCCTTGCATAGAGACGTCTTGGTTCTCTTCTCAAGATGCTTACAGTATCTCCTTCGTGATTTGAGGCCATAAAGGCTCTCCTCGCCAATAGAAAGGTAAGCGGAATGACGCCGCTTCTTTGCTTTACCATATTTTCCATGACCATGAGTGATGAATTATGGGAAAAGGGCCCATTCACAAGTCAGTTGCTCTAGGTAGTAACGTAATCGCTCTTGGAATTGGGCCATGGAGAATTCTCCTTGGAAGTAACGATAGATGCCTAGTGAGCGGAACTAAGCCGCGCCAACGGGGACCTCTCCGTTCTACGGAGTATCATTGCTCAAGTCGTCCACCATGCCTCCAAAGGCTCCGTACTGCGAGGGCGCGAAACGTCCCTTCAATCCCGATACCCTCATTCGCGATTGGGACAAGCATCCTTCTCCCGAGAAGGGTCCTTTTTCGAGTAGCATCACTCTCATCTTCGGACTCCCTCAAGACGACAAATATGTATACAATGCGGGTCCGGCGGGAGTGACGCTGCTACAAGCCCAAATAGCACTACTTGCAAAAGGGAGGAATGGACTCCACGGCTGGTATCGCGATGGCGAAGGGAACGAGGTACGCCAGACTGTCGGATCCTTTGCAACGCTTTCGTCTCAACAATCTTGCTATGGGTATTCCATCTCTACCTCATATCCCGAAGTTCTCCCCATATTTACAATTCCAGATACTTCCACCGACAGGTGATGATATAGTGGCATACGCCGCCCTATTCGACCCTTCAAAGTCCATCGCAGCAGCCCTCCGAGCCTTCGAAAGCAACGCCAAAAAGGGCTCTCGCCGGCACGAGATTGCCCAACACCTCTCCTCCCACCTACTTCTCCCTCGCGCTGGCCTCGTTCTTGGCAAAAGCAAGCGCCAGCACATAAATCCATACTACGACTTCTGGCGATGGTCCTGCAAAGAACTCGAGTGGGGAGGACCATTTCCGAACACCGCCAACACGAAGATGTCCCACCACATCCTACCAGTCTTCTACCATCATTTCGGCTGTGTAGTCCCCTCGTACGCTGCGCTTTATACGATAGCACAGTTGGCACAACCGAAAGGCGGACCCAAGGTCCCTAGTAAGCCTATATTGGATATCGGGTCGGGCTCGGGCTATTGGACGTTTATGCTGAGAAAGCTCGCTCTTCCGACGCATATGTCACCGCTAGTGGTGCACGCGATAGACAATCAGCGCTCCTTGTACCGCACGATGTGGGTCGGCGATACGATACCCGCAACCGGGGAGGAGTACCTGGATGGGCATGATGGAGGCAAGAACGCCATACTATTACTCGTATACCCGCAGACGGAGGAGGAGTTTGTACGGAAGACGGTGGAGCACTATAACGGTGGTGTCATTGTGGTTGCTGCCACGCAGAATGCGGACGGCTTCACGGCTTTCAAGGAGGGGACGATGAACGTGTGGATGAAGCGAGAGCATCCCGAATTTGAACATACGGCTCAGATACCACTACCAAGCTTTGCGGGAAAAGATGAGGCACTCTATGTCTTCGAGAGGAGCAATAGTAGTGCTCAGCAGGCTAGTCAAAGCTAAGTAGAGGAGAGAGAGTAACTCAAAATTAGGGCACAGTTGATTCTTATTTTCCATCAACGCAGGCGATATATACAACCGCGTCTCCTCCAAGACACAACGATGCTTGCCATACATACTATTAACAATTCCCGGTATTGGGCACATTCCCATAACGTTGTAATCCCCTTATTTGACTATACTATACCGCATAACCACTTCTTTAGAGAGCTAGTCCACTAGAAAGAACAAGATCCATACCAACCACATTCCTAATACGTACGCTTGAGATCATCTCCCAAAACACCAGAACCATCCCAAGCGGCAAGGTACCTACCTGATTCACTTGCAAGTAGCTCTATAAAGAGACCCGCAGTTCTTATTTCACGCGCGCGACTGGGCGCCGGGCTGAGTCTCCCCTTTGCGCAACCTTGCGCTGTCTTCCGAAAACAAGTCGCCGAGCACTTGCATTGGGGCTGTTCATCGCACACAAGAGGCCGATAAGGTGGTGGAGAAGACGTCACGTTCACATTAGAAGAGTTATCAAGAAGCACTTTGGTTGCTATCCAAGTATGTACTTGGAAAGATTATGGATTGAAGCTAAGTGTGGTCCAACGAAAAACAATAGCAGGCTTTGCTCCCTCAAGTAAGATTGCTGGTCTCACGAGTACTGATCCTCAGCGCCACGAAGAGGCGCCTGCTTCGCTGAAGAATTTTTTTTGCGTTTCGGACTGGGGTCCCCTTGACGTCGGTGCAAACGATCCAGTAGGAACGCTAGCTCGCGGGGGAGTGCACCGGCGGGCGAATTCGAAGCAACTGAACAACATCAAGTAACGTACGTGAAGGACGTTACCTAGATCGTTGCTCAGCGGCGTTGGCTGCGAATGGTCTGGACGTTCAAGATGTCGGACAGCCGCCACCCAATGGATTGTCGAATGTTGGGTACTACATGTCGGTAAGAATATAGCTAAGATGTCGAAGGTCAATCAACATACCATTTTATGATTAAGAGGGTATGACATGCACCAAGGGAACCCGTCACGCAAGGAAATTGCCCGACAACCCGACGGTAAGGCTGCCGATGGGAGTCAAGATGTGTGGGATTCACGCAAGTTTATAGTTCTACAGCTGAAGAACCCCTGCCAGCTGAAGAAGACTCGCTTGCTTATCTCATATTGCTCTTGAGGAGATTTGATTCGCCGTCTGCTTGGTCAGAAGGACTGCGACAAGGATGCCCGCACCGAAGCTGCAAGACCTGCCTTAGCTCGAAGTTCATTTGGGAATTCGGTGTGTTGGCTCTACACCATTAGCGGAGAACGACCACTACGATAGAGTTGAGTACGCCACAGCCACCGCTAATACGAGAAATCTAGTCGAAAAGGTTCACCGGTGCCCGCACTGCCCCATTCCCTAAATTGGTGCCAGGGCCTGCATTTCTAAATCATTCCCGTCATGCGAATCGGTATTCAGGTAATCAGAGAACAGCTTTCCCATCATTTGAACGCATTAAAACTCCGCTAAGATTAGATATCAATGTTACCAAAGCTATGAGGTCCTCACGACGAGGACAATCCCTTGTGGGAATGACCCTGGATGGAGACATCCAGGTCCATTCCCTTCTGTCGCAAAGTGAAACTGGCCCGACATATATTGCCCAGGACCTATCGGCTTCCACGTTCTACGAACTGAAGGTCTTCTCAGCCAGCTGGGTTCCACGTAGCAAAACACACCTGATGTGGCGTGAACATGAGAGCCTGGAGGCAGACAGCAGGTTTATAAAAGCGTGGAGACGAGACAGAAAGGCATGTACGCTATTGCGACTCCCTAAGGCTCCCTTGGTGACCGAGGAGGGGATTTTTGTGCTAGATGCTGGCAAGAGGATTGCGGTTGCTGCTGGGAGCTCTGTGAGAAAGAGTAACCGGAGTTTGGGCCATGCAAGCGCCCCGGTACCGGACTTTGATGATGAAACGGCGTTTCCGAGCCTTGGTGATGGTACCCTTCGGACCAAAAGAGCTAAAGATACGCGGTATATTGCCCCAGCCCCAGGAAACGGCCGAATACCAGACGCCACGGAGTCTTTGAACAAATGGCTCGCAGCCAGCGAGAGTATTATACAGAATAATTCAAATCGGCAGGTCCATCATGACCGTAATATTCGTGAAGCTACCGTCCAACCTATGGCTCAGGCCAAAGAGGAGAGGGATGACCGGGACCAAAAAAAAGAAAGGAAAAGAAAGAAGAGGGCGAAAAAGAAAAAGGGAAGAGAAGAGAAGGGAGAAAAGGAGAAGTTAGAGATCGAAACAGTGAAGAAGACGGTAGAGGAAAATGGGAAAATGGAGAAAGAGATAAAAAAGGAAAATATAGAGCAACAGCACCAAAGAGAGGAAATTGGCCAAGAGGAGAGAAAGAAGGGGGAACATATCACGCTACGTACTACTGCTACAAAATCGACGGCAGAATCGACTGCAAATTTGATCTCTTCGAAGTTTGACAGCATTGCATTGTTGGGAGCAGCAGAGTCTAGCCCGACCAAAAACCTGGAGAATATCGTAGTGCCTCCAACGAATACCACCATGTGGCAGCGCTCACTCTACACTCGTCTCCCATATTCATGGGAAAACGCTACGAACAGTTCGGGAAATGGTGTCTTTGCTCACTACGGGTTTGTCGACCGCAATCAAAACTTTAATGGCTTCTTGAATCGCTCTTGGTGGTCCCCAATCATACCAGGAAAGAGTAGTTTTGAAACCGCCCACCACAATCAAAAACAGAAAGTTATCGTGGATACCACTCGTCTGTATTCTGAGCTCCCGATATACTATCCACGCGGAGTGCAAGCCGCTTCCCAGGAGACCGAGATTCGGCTGATAGAGCTCAAGCCGGAGTTCATGGGGGACTCTATCTTCTGCAACATGTATTGTACCAGCTTGCAAAAGAAACCCGAGTTCATTGCCCTATCATATTCCTGGGGAGATGTGGACAAGACGCATACAATCCATGCGAGGGGCTACGAGGTCCCGGTTACGAAAAATCTTCACCAAGCCCTGATGCAACTACGCAAGCCGCAAGAGTCTGCTGTTTTGTGGGTAGATGCGATCTGCATTGATCAAGCCAATGTGCAAGATAGAAACTACCAAGTCAAACAAATGCCGAAGATATATAGCGCAGCACAAGAAGTGGTGGCCTGGCTGGGTGAAAGTAGGTTTCTGGGTGATGAGGCTATGAGGCTTATTACGCTTGCTCCAGAGGACCTGCGGAAGCTGAAGCGCTCCAGCGTACAGACGGTTCTGGATGACCTGTTCTCCCGCCCTTATTGGAGTCGTGTGTGGGTGGTGCAGGAGTTGGCATCAGCCAATCGATCCCGACGAGCTTGTACATTACGGTGTGGTGAAAAGTCAGTCACATTGAATCAGTTCGCGGATTTTTTGCGGAGGATCCTACGCCAGATCAAAATTTCCGAGCTCCAGACGATAATGCGGCCGAGGTCGCTACTATCTCTCAGTACACAAGATCCCAGCAAGACGTTTCTGCACAATCTTTGGGAGTCGTCAAGCCTTCTAGCCACCGACGCTCGTGACAGGATATACGGAATTCGCGGAATTTCCCCCAAGTTCTATCGCGATAATATCGAAGTCGATTATACGATCGATTTTGAGACTCTTTGCAGAAAGGTCATGGCGCTCATGGTTAAAAAAGAACGCAGCCTTGATGTCCTCTGCTATTTCCACAGATATACTTCTGAAGCCACGTCCCCGTCATGGCTGCGCGACTTCAGCAAACGAAATCCGGGAATACCGCCAGATATGTATTCGTGTGACAAGGGTCGAAAAGCAAATGCTGAGATCGTAAATCGCATTCTGCGAACGAGAGGTGTCCGCATCGGCCGTGTGGCGGAGATTAGAGTGTTCAACAAAACGACTCGCAAGGACCCTTGGGCATGGATGCCGAAAACTGACCTCAAGCTGAAGTCGGAATTGAGTGCAATCCAGGACCTAGCCTTCAATGCACTCCAGAAACATCATCCATATGAGAATCGCTTCCTGGAGATGTTTGCGGGAGGGAAGCAACAGGCAACGGAGCAGCTTGGGAAAGAGTACCATACTCGCTGGCGGAATATTTGGGACAAAAGGATTGCCTTCGAGAAAGGCACCGTCAGCTCAGATGAATGGGAACGATTGGACGAGTCATTCTGCAGCACTTTCGCAAGACTTATTGGTCGCTGTGTTTTTACAACGGTTGAAGGAAACCTTGGTTTGGGTCCTCGAGACATGCAGAAAAATGATCTTGTTTGCATCATTTTTGGCTGCAGATTACCTATCATTTTGAGGAAGGATGGTCGCTACTATACATTAATTGGGCCGGCCTATGTGGACGGCGCGATGAACGGGAAATTCGTTCAGGAGTCTGAGAAAGGAGATAGATTCTGGATTCGATGATACCTCCCCGGCATTCCCAAGATACAGGACCTCTTTGCGTCCGGTGACCTAGCGTGAAAACTGAGTCTTTTCTGCGTGCAGTCCAAGACGTCGGTTTCCGATGAGAAAGTTCGCTCGGAGGTACTCGACGACGTGGACTTGGAAACAAACGGCACCTACCTAGGTACGACAGGCTTGCCATCGTCAGGTTTGTGGAGCCTCCGCGAATCATCGCGGGGCTTTCAATCTCTTGGATACCAGCGAGCAGTTGGTCTAGTGCTCGGGTGGTTGATCAAGGCTGTGGCGTCCGTTCTGCGCTTAATTTAGCGAGCTTTGGAGTAGGATATATATTTGTAGGAACATAAATAAATGAGATGTCAAATACTTGAAAACTTGTTGTATATCTATTATCCCTAGGCTGATTGAAGGCGTGAGCCATGCCTCACGTGACGGTTGTAGTGGCGTCCCAAATGCTATTGGTTAGGTACGGATCTAGGGTTAGTGTAACCCTTGTATGGAGTAGAGTAATTCAACTCTAAACACCACTCTTCGTCTACCTATATGCTTGTAAGGTCGAGAAACCGTCTTTTGCGATCTGAGATAACCCGGCGCGGCTCCGGACAGTACACCCCCGGCGTACAGTAGCAGCGTACAGTGGGGCTCACAACCTCAAATTTGAACATCAACACCATCATCTACGAGAGTTCATACGCCTCGTATGTACGTCCATCAACCTCAATCACCATCTTCTTGCCCTTCTTTGCCTCCTTAGCTTTCTTAGCCTTAGGCGCACTCTTAGCCTTCACTACGGGCTGCGCAGGGGCCTCATCTGTATGCGAAGTTGATGGCCGCCGTCGCTTGGGAACACTCGAAATGTCGGCCTCTTTTTCCTTAGTTCTCTTAGCAGTAGTAGTTCTCTGAGCCTTTGGAGGTGCGCGAGGTTTATACGGAGCTCGAGGTTTCAGGGGGGGCTTCGTAGGTGTACGTGGCTTGCCATGTACATTCATAAACTTGTAGTCATACACCTTTCTGTTCCGTGGCCTGTGTAATATATGTTTCGAGGCCTCCGAGAGTGACGAGTCGGACTTCTTCACTTTCTGGTTCACTAATTGGAGGTCTTGGCGTCGCTGCAGGCACCTTAGGGTGCCGTTGTGGCACTTTGAGCTTATGCCTGGGTCGTGTTTATGTTTAAATTTGAGGGTGTGATAAAATATACGCAGTCGTGCTACAATAATCTCATGCACGTGACTGTACGAGACCCACTGTACGTCCAGAGCCGCGCCCGAGATAACCGACATGCCACCGTCGATTTATGAAAATTGCCAAGGGTGGTCAGGGTACGAACACCCCGATAAGAGAGGCTTGCGTAGGTACAGTCCACTCGCGCACCTCGGCTTTGGGGGCCAAACTCTGGATAAATACGGTAGAGAAAAAGTTCTTTTTGGAGATACTTTCTTTAGTTAGCTAAAGGGCGTTCGTTATGCAACTAGTCGAAGGCTTCAGAGGCAAGGCTGGAACTGCAGAGTTTTAGACCTCAGCCTTGGTCTTGCCCTTTCATTCCTTTTTCACCTCTCTGTCTCTCTCTCTTCTTCTCGTCATACACCTCAATTGCCATGGCGGAACCGCTTACCACTACTTTTGACCCACCGTCGCAATGTACGCAGGATGTTTGGTGGGTGGACGACGGAGGCTTCGAGCTGCTCGGTGGGACATTCAGCTCGTGCTATCCACCAAACTTCACACCAACTTCAGTATTCTATTACTCTCCAGGACTATACTGCCCGGATGGCTACTCCACTGCATGTACTTCGTCCGGAAACGCGGGCGATGACACCATCGTGACCTGCTGTCCTACGTCAGTACAACATCCGAGTTTCCAGGCTGTCTATCCACCCTCTCCTCAGGATCAGACCAGGCTGTAATAAGAGCGTAAGCTAACTACACTTCTAATCTGTAGAAGTTACACCTGCCAGACAGCCCCTGTGTGGGAGATTGAATCAACGCTAGGCTGTAGATCCGCGGTGACTGGATCGCAAACGCATACGGTCAAGTCGACATCCGGGACTAGAGTCAATACATGGGGGCCGGGAGCAGCCATAAACGCGTACAGCGTTCAACTAAGGTTTCAGGCCTCTGACCTTGTGAGTTCTGCACACTTCATGATAGAAGTTTTCCCTAGCAGCGAGGCAGAGCATGACTAACACTGGTTTGCAAGGGCATAACCACATCTGCTCCTACATCCGCCGCGGATAGCACAACATCCTCCCCTACTACCATATCTTCTTCGACCACTACATCCTCCACCACATCCTCATCAACCGCCACCAGCGGTCCCTCTCATGGTGGTCTATCCACTGGGGCGAAAGCAGGAATCAGCGTTGGGGTTGTGCTTGGCGTAGCCTTGACTGCAGCTATTATATTTCTGGCGTTAACAATCAGGAAGGGAGGAAGAAATGATCCGAGTAATCAGCGTCCCTCTGGTGGCACCAACTTGCCGGAATTAGTGAAGCAGCCCGCTCTAGGGTATGGGAGCGCCGCTCCAGTGTACGGGAGTACCGCTCCGGTGTATGGGAATGCCGCTCCTCCAAATCCGGGAATGCAGGGAGCAGGACACCTGCCGCGGCACGAATTGGGCCAACCTCACGACCAGTCGTGGGAGTTGCCTGCGCATCGATAAACCGCGACCCCTTTGTGCTGTGAGCGTTTGTTGCAAAGGGGTAGACTCAGGTTGCCACTACTAGCGTGTCAGTGGCGTTACATCCTTCCATATCCGTAACAAGGGGGAACAGGGGAGTACCCCCCCCCCC